ATGGAGTTGTTACTTGATAATTCATCACTGCAAACTGTCTGATTTTGAGGTATCCTCTGAAATCGTGAAGCAATTTATCTTATCTTTTGGTCTCAAAGCAAACATATAAACAGAATACAGTCCTCTAGGAAAATGAAGTTGTTTTGATTTTCTGTAACAGTCCAAACCAGCTTTATCAAAAATTTCTTGAAAGAGATGCATTGGACGAGTCACTGAATAATCTTGCGAATCCATTTCACACTCATCAGAAGATGTTATATTTTCCTTTACTACTATAACTCCATTCAATTTCAATCCATTCCTGAAACAAGAGATATATGTCTCCGATATCCAAAAATAATTAATAATTACTTACTGGCAAGACTTCAAGAACTGTATCAGATCTTCATCTGTGAGATGTCCCAAAACCCACTGTATCCAAATAACATCGTATTTCCCACTAGCTGGTTGGAAATCTTGTAATCCAGTAGAATAAAATGAATCCACCTTAGACCTTTTTGGTCCCAAATAATGTTTAGCTTGTTCAAGAAACACAGGATTTTGTTCTACCATATCAACTTTATCAAACATATCAGTCAATAAAAATTTTGTTATTCTACCTATCCCAGCACCACAATCTAAAGCATTTTGTCTACCAGGGGGGTTCTTCGAATTGAATATCTGTTTCAAAAGCAGTTTAGACCCCTTGATATCTGTCTGTGAGACAAAACCAAAACCTCCAAGCATTCCATCTATAGTCGCTGGTACCACAGACCAGTAATTTGCTCCATGTGAGTAAAAATTGTCATTACTTTTACACTTCTCATCATGACCAGTTTCCTTGAAATCTTCGGACACAGACATTTTACTATTAAAATACCAAAATGTAACAAATCAGCATTTCTAACTTCCTAGACTAACAAAACAACAAACAGTAAATAACAGTAATAACATAACCACATTTTTCTACCTCTCATTCTTCTTTTTTCTTGACATTTTACAGCCTTGCTTGCAAGGCAGAGAAAATATCTCGACCATCCAAAGAGAGAGATAGTCACACCAATGGGTGTGACTAACAAATGTGACATCAAATGAAAAACTGCTTATCAGTGCAACTGAATGTCTGAATGTGAAATATATGAACCATATTTTGGTGTTAAATTATTTCAATCCATTCAAAAGGATTTCATTTTTTTCTTGAAATAATTTCATGAATGACATCACATCTATTAAATACTGAAATAATTTCAAAACCATCGCCGAAAGATAGTTCATAAAAATATGTGACAGATGGGAAACATAATGATATTAGTATATCTATGATGGTTGGTGTATACATGTTTCCACAATAATAGTGGTAATCATAAATAATCGATTTCATATTGTTTTCTCTCAACGACATTAATTAATTAATCATTATTGAGGTTATGTAGTCATTTTGTAAGACGTACGTTGTTTTGAAATTGTGTTTTCTTTTGTTTAATTGTTCCAATTCTTATTCAGATTATTGTGGACAAGAGAAAACGATGTATATGTCTAGATATTCCGCTTATCTATTTGTCGTTTGAGTAGTGCCCGCGCTATTGCCCGTTGTATAAACACAGCAGTAACTTCATCTATGAAACAAATTCATAGGTTCATAGGTTCAAAGTTATTCATAGGTCCATGATGTTGTTCAATGATACGATTTCCAATTCGGACGTCAAAGTTCAAGTTCAAAATTTCAAGGTCAAAGGGTTCTTTTCCCGCTTTTTTTTTAATAGGAGTAGTTTTGATATTTCGAGTTACCATCTGATACAGTCTTTTGTTTAGGGTAAAGGAAATTAGATGCTAAATCGCATCGTTATGAACTAAAAACACAATTCGTAATTATTATATAAAAATATTCTCTATTCGAATTTGTGAGTTCTACTTCAACATGGTCAACTTGGGTGATGTCTTTCCCAATTTCAGCGCAAAGACAACAATTGGAAATATCAAATTTCACGATTGGTTAGGAGACTCGTAAGTAATGAAACATATTTCAATGTATGGTCCCATTCGTGTTTGTTTTTGTTTTTGAGGTTATTTTATTTATCATACTCTTTAATGCAAACTCTTCCATTTGATACCCATATCATGGATGTGCATAAAAAAGACTAGTCCGTCATCCATGGATATAGTCACTTTGAGATTTGTTGACATTGCTATTCCTGGCAATAACAAGTCCTCACACAATATTGGTCTTCATCTTCGAGGAACTATTCAACGCGATACTAAGTGGGAGGTTGTAGTTGATCTATTCGTCTACAGAGAACGTGAAGAGGCAAAAAAGGAAGAACAAACTGCTGCAGCTGTTGCAGCAGTTGTTGAACCCACTGAAATCGCTGCTCCTCTGGATCCACTAGATCCACAGAAACTGCTGACTGGGCAGCTGAGGTCCCACCAGTTGCTCCTGTAGGAGCTGGCGCAATCCCTACGTATACAGCTAGCGGTACGGATGACTGGGCAGCAGAAGTTCAAAAACAGTGGACAGCTACAAACACTACACTACACAACCTGCTGTTGCTACCAACTGGGGAAGTTCCAGTGATTGGCAATACATTTTTAAATAATGACTTAGCTATTCATACAGTTTCATCCAAACTGAACATGTTTGCAAAATTTTAGCTCAATCTGCTGAGAATAGGTGCTGTAAAAGTCAGTTGCAAGATTTGACCGGAACTTACTTATATACATATATTCGTACAAAGCGAGTGGAATAAAAGTTTGTAAAAATTTTTTGGGCATTTAATTCGTCCAACTGAACCAAGTATTACTGAAAGATAACTCAAATAAAATGCCTTGAGTAATACATGTTTTAATTATTTTGAATTTGAACATAGCATCCTTTTATTAATTTACAAATCACTTTTTCGTTATGGTATTCTAGTAAACTAAATGTCATTCAAAATTATATTCTAAAAATAATACATGGAAAAACAAAACGTTATCAGATGACACTACTTTATAATGAATATGTTGGTAACATAAGATCTCTATATTTTCATAGCCTATGTATACATGCCTACAAATAGAAGCAATATCAAAACCATCCTTCACAGGACTATAGAACTAGAAGTGCTACAAAAACGGCATTTCGAAACGTTTATTTTCTTATAATTGGTTTGATGATGATAAACTTTGTTGATATGTTGTATATCTTAGGTAATATTTTAACAGTTGTTCTTCACAGGTGGGGCATTCTATTCTCTCATCCAGCAGACTTCACTCCTGTATGTACAACAGAAATAGGTAAACTTTTAATGCTGTACCCAGAGTTTTCTCGAAGAAATACCAAAGTTATAGCATTATCCTGTGATCCAGTTGAAAGCCATTTGAAATGGAGCAACGATATTAAAGTTTACAGTGGATACTCGGGCGATAATTTTCCCGTTCCGATTATCGCAGATGAAAAAAGAGAACTGGCCGCTGAATTAGCAATGATTGACCCTGATGAGAAGGACTCAAAGGGAATTCCATTAACTGCAAGGGCTGTTTTCATTATAGATCCAAATAAAAAACTGAGGCTCTCGATTTTATATCCTGCCACTACAGGAAGAAATTTTGAGTGAGTACAGTTTATTACTAAATCTCATTTCAAGACATTTGAGTCAATTGAAGTTATATGATTCAAGAATGACAACGCATTCTTGCAACTTCAAAATAATTGAATATATTAATAATATTCATACTATTATCAGCAAGTCAGTCAGTCAAAATTTAAAAAAACATTGAATAAACGCCCTTCAAAACCTTACAATATGAACATATGTTCACAGTTTCTGCTGTTTAGCACGTTTAGTTTGTTGGTGAGAGGCATAAAAGTTTGAAGTGTTTTGAGTGTTGACGATTTTCTGATATCGAAAAAAGTGAATCGAAGAATTTGCATCAAATTTTGCGTAAAACTAGATTTAAGTGCTCAAAAACACTTGAAATGTTGACAGTGGCATACGGTGGTTGTACTCTGAGTCACAAAAAGGTTGATAAGTCATACAAGAATTCCACAGAAAGTCCAGAAGATGTAAATGACTATGTACGCCCTGGACGCCCCAGCAAATCAACAACCAATGAAAATCTAAATAATTAAACTTTAAATGTTCAAGCTCGTCTCGGATATACCTACACAGTAGGTTGAATAGACGGACGCCAATCTGAAAACAATTACTCCACTGGCTAATACCACAAATGGCGTTGGATTATATCCGACAGGCGTCAGTGCAAGAATCTTCACACTATGAAGTTGATTATCATGGATGAATGCCTTGAACTGTGTAACTCACTCATTGAAAAATTAACTCATTAAGGTAGCACTGTTTCACAGCTGATGCGTTCTTTAAAAATAGTTATCATCTGTATCTGAGTAGTTATACCAGTAAAGTGTCTACAAGTGCCCTTTTTATCCTCACGCAACTGAGAAATGCCTTGGGTTCGTTTGCATTAAGAATTGCATATGATTTTTCGGTATTTCACTTGATAATCTGAAGTTTTGATTCGGGGTAACTCTATAAACTCTATAAGTATTTTTAAGCTCCAGAAAAAGGCTATTAGAATTCTAATAAATATGGCTTATAGGAAACATTTTCGTTTTCTATTTATTCAGTTTGCTATTATGCCACTACATACTATGTATGTTTATGCAGTATTGAGAGATATTATTGAAAATGTGGAGAAAGTTATGAAACATTACAAAAATCATAATTATCCTATAATTGTGATTATGAATTATTATGAATTATCCTATAATTATTGTATCTTCCTAGATATATACTACAAGTTTGCCAAAAATTCAAAATTGTTAATTGAAAGGGGTATATTTAGGATATAATAATTTTTGGAAAAGAAAGACATACAGAGGGCTCTTTATATGTTGCTTTCTTTGCAAGTGGTGCAAATAAAAGTAATCCTTCTGTCTGTATCATATTCATGGTAGCTGTGATTTATTAAGATCATTCAAAAGAAAATGTATTGAATATACAATAATTTGTCTTGTTTTCTTGTTTTTACAATGTGACTTGTCTCTATTTTTATATTTTTGTTTTGTGTATTTTATAAGTGACTGACTACTATGAAGAGCATTATTCGTTAATAAAGAGTGATATATATCCAAACAGAGAAGTAGACCAGCTAAAACCTCTACAATTGTATTTGTACGATTGTCTATACTTCACTGTGAAATCTTTGTATTTCAGAAGTTTCAATCAAATAATCATTACTTGAAAACAGTTTTTGTGCAGTGTATGTCTAAATAATTTGGCAAAACTATGTTGATGTCATTTCAATGTGGATTATTTAGATTTTTGGTGTTATAAACAATGTTTTTCTTATATGCCGAGTTTTTTATATGTTTAAATCTTGTCACACTGTTCTGACTTGCTATAAATCAAAATTGTATTCAAAATCGTCAAGAAATTACTCTACTAAAGGCTATATATGATTTACAGTGAGATACTTCGAGTACTGGATTCCCTTCAACTTTGCGACAAACATAAAGTGGCTACTCCTGTAGATTGGAAAGTAAGTTGTTTAAATTTAAACTTTGAATACCCACTGAACATATTGGTTGTAATTTCAGCCTGGTGAAGATGTTATGGTTCAACCAACAGTCTCAGACGAAGATGTGAAAACTATGTTTCCTGTTTTGACTATTGTAGCTTTGCCATCTGGAAAAGGATATATTCGAAAAACTCCCCAACCCTAATTAGCATGTAGATTATTTAATCAAAATTCATGTTGAAATCATGAAATGATTGTTCAATGTTTTCTCAATATCACTTATGAAAAATAAAGTGTTTCTTATATACATGCATTTTTACAAAAGGGCTGCACACTCGGACTTGAATGTCTACATTTCATTAACATCGATCATTTATGTTTTATTAGATTAGAATTTTTTTCCGTTTTTATGAGTCTACTTTAAACTGTAATATCTCAGTACTTTTATTCAATTCAATCGAAATAAGCGCCCTTTTAATCGGTGCACTTTTTCAACGTAACACAAGTCAATTAATTCCGTCAGCCCAAAAATTGTGTGCCCGGGATTCGATGAAGTCGACGAAGGACATTTATGCCTGGTCCTGATTGGCGAAGGTTCTACCGGTGAGAAAGTTACTGAAGTGCTTGGACGGTGATTTGTGATACGTGCGGACGAGCGTTGTCGTGCCGGCTGCTCTGACGCAATTTTCAGAACATTTCGTCGCTTTCCTGACAATAGGACTCTGCTCGTCATTCGTGAAGATCCGATCCAAAAAAGAAAGTTGTGCAAAAGCAAAGAAGAACAAACCTAGACAAGTGATCATTTCTGTCGACCATTCAAATTGTGGGACACCCACTTTTCTGCATAGGAGCTGACGTCCCGTTCTTCCGCCATCCCGCCATGGTCAGTATCCATCAGGGTCATGAAATCTTCGTTCTGAATCACTGTATGTCAACCAATTCGGAGCTCATCGTCAGTGGTGGCGCAAGACCTAAATTTGATGTGGGCATGGTACATTCCGCGAGGCCCTCTGATGGTACAAGGGTTTACAAAATGAAAAAAACACTTGAAATATAACAATTTTTTTTCGTTAAGAAACACCAAAATTCTTAGGTATGTACTTCTCTGGAACAATGAACAACAAAATTAAAGAAACCTACTCAGAGTAATAAAATATAATGTCTGGGTCACTGTATTAAAACACCAATCAAAGTCACTGACACTGCGGCAATTTTCTCATTGAGACCTTTAAAATTAGCCCAAACACGTCACGTCTCGTGTAAGTTGCCCCAAGGAATTGGTCTTTTGCAGACTGTTCTATACATATAGTTGCAGCATCAAGTCAAAGATAAAATGTTATTGTATATGTACATACTCCTAAAAATGTCGATTTTTTATTTCGATCAGTCAAGTGAATTTATTGATAACCATAATTGAATGCATAATTCCCCTTCATAATCTTGGAAACGAGCTTGTAACTTTTAAACGACGGAGCGATTGACATGAAACATATATAAGAACTATCCCTACAAAAATAGCTATTAAATTAAAAAACCGCATTAAAATCGATCTACAGTGCCACAGATAAAGACACATATACACAAGTCAAACTTATAAAACTTTTTTGCGACGGTATTAAAAATAAATAAATTGAAGAAACAACTTTCTACTTTTGGTTTTACTGAACTCCATAATTATTGGTTCGTAATTTATCTTTGATGCTATGCCTGCTGCAATGGAGAAAACTGCCAAAGCTGAAAGTCTTTCCCGACATATTAAATGATTTTTTATTGGTTTTCATTTTGAAAAAGTTCAGCGGAAGCAGTACTTACATGTAACTGTTGATAACAATCGAACGAATATGTGAACATTTGGGTAATTTTTTTAAGAATTGGAGCAGATATTTCACGTCTTCAATGGAGTTTGGTAAATTTTGGGATTATATTTCGTAGATCTTCATATAACTCATATGGTTAGAAATTACTGTTCTCATCTACTTGCAGGACTGTGTGTATCTTGACAGTTTTCATTTTGCTTTTTTTGGATTCTTTAACTTGTTTAAGTCATAGAGAAAACCAAAATTTGTCGATTTAAAGACATATATCTTGAGTCTATATTGCTTTGCTTATCACAGAATCAATCATGGTATAAAAAAATATTTCATACCGGCTACCTCTGCTCATCTTTGAGGCTAAAGTCTTCGGAAGGAAATTTCGCACACCAATGTCTAACAGTACGTTCATTAACGCACGATAACGGCAGCTATTAGTTTCAATTTTCATTCGTAGAGAAAAATTGGCCAAAAATCGCTTAACGACATCATATAGTAATAAGCTGAAAAGAGGCAAAAAAAATAAAATTTGGAAAAAAATTAACAGCATCAATGTATGGAGTACAAAATTCTCTATCGATCAGTACATACCACGACTCAATAGAATGGATATTTATTGAGATTTGAAGGAACAAAAAACAGATTACATTAAAACGGACAAAACTTTTGAGAACCTAAATCAACTGAAATAATGTTCATATCAGTTATCAATACTTTTTAAAATTATGATACTATCCTGTATTCAAAAAGTAAATGAAAAATGAGAGAAACTTTGAAGATAGTTGAAAAAGTAAATTCAAATTCTTTGATGTAATGATTATTTTCTAGGATATATGTAAGAGTTAGAATCTATCGTTAAAAAGCTAGTAAAAAAAGTCCGATTGAATTTCGATCAAATCGACGAGATAACCACAGAACACAAATAAAATCATAATCTGTGAAAACAGGACTTGATACGAAAAATATTTTCGTTCTGGCAACATTGGGCAACGCCGTATTCTGCAATATTTTGAATCTTCTATATTCTAATTTTGTTCGTTATTGTATGTATATACAATGGAAATGAAAAATAAATGCATTCTATGTGATGGAGAATTCAAACATATTATATACAATCTGGCATCGACCAGAACAAGAATGTCAGGAAGCTTAGCACTAACTCTTATTGAGGAATTTACCGAAGAAAAATTCAAAACAAATTTGAATATATGTGAAAATTGTCTTGAACTCATAAATGAATTAGATGAAATGAGGATAAGAGTTGCTGATATCAGCAACGTACTGGGAAGATATATTCAGATACGATCTGTTTCTTATCGTGCAGCCAAAGAAAAAATTGAAAGCAACTTGACTGAATCAGAACTCATTCAGTTTTGTGTAGATGATTCCAACTTATCTGTATTTGACAAACATTTTGAATCAATTCATGATTATAATGAAAAACCAGATCACACAAATGACCTACAAAATAATGGAAAGGACGTTCTATTTCAGAACATATCTCCTCTAGAACCATCACCAGTCATAAACAACGTATTTGAAAGAGAAATCAGCACTTCCAAATTGAACGAATGTGTTAAAGAAAATATCAATATTCCTGAGTTGAAACATAATCCAGGCACACACAACCCTTCATTTGTCTGTGAAGTGTGTGGTAAATCATATAAGCATAAAAGAAATTTTGAGAGTCACTCAAAACAACATACAGGGTGCCCTACATTTTCCTGTACTTATTGTCAAAAGTTTTTTTTACAGAAAGGTGATCTAATTCGACATGTTGCTATTCACACTGGTTAGTATAATAGTCAATATTTTTTAAGAACCAAGTTGAATAAGTTCCTAGAGTGATGGGTAATTCAATATTGTTTTATCAAAACTGTTGCAATTATAATGTTGCTGCTGCATTCATTGATAGATGGTTCTTAAATAAATTAAAGGTTGTTTATTCATATTATTTGATGCATAATCAGATATCAAACGTCATCTTTATACTGTCGTTTCTGATATACTTGTCTAGCCAAGTGTCAAATATGAATGGGCTTTTTTTTACTTCTTGGAAGCTGCCCGGCGTGCTTATTTTAATGCAGGCTCATCTTTTCATTCAACCCATTTTCTTCTGAACTTTTGATTGTCCATAAATTTCTTGCTTGTTGTGTTTCAAAGCCTCATATTTGCCGAAGACACGATGATGTAGATGTGTCAAATAATGGGCATCAAACATAAAAATTTCAAAGCTAGTATTGTTTTATTATATATGAAATTATTCTCATTTAATTTTTATCAAATCAAAAATTTTATTAGGAATAATGGTTTAATATATTAACTTCCTTTTCTAGAGGAGTTAGTTATGAGAACACCAACTTCAGTATCCATTTATGAAATTTGATATTGAATATAATTCTTGTAGTTGATATCAGTTTTTAATTGTGAGATTTTGAGAGCCTTTCATTTAGGACATTTCAAACTAAGAATTTGCCAATAAATATCGTGACTTGGCAATATTGTCAATTAACTATTCAATGGAAACGTTAATATTTTATTTGAATAAGTGAAATCATTCAAATATTTGTACAAAGCTTCATGTCAGATTTTTTATGAATCTTACTGTTTCTCTTATTGGTTTGGCAAATATTGGTACTCTTTGTAACTCTGAAATTTAAGCCATCTTTTATATGCACCAAGAAGGCACTGTGTCCAGTGTTTTCGTCAGAATATTCCACATAAGTTTCAACCTAGAAGTAATGTTATTTATTGCGTAGACAAAGTTACATTTCACTAGTCAGGTAACACAATATTTTATATAACTTAAGATGTAGTCTATAAAATTCAACAAAAACCACTGAAAACATATATTTTTGTCTCAGGTGAAAAACTACATCAATGTGAAAAATGTGGAAAACGATTTACACATCATACTTCCTTCAATATGCACATTAAAACACATACTGGTAAAAAGACTCATAAGTGCAACATGTGTGAACGAGGATTCACAAGTACTTCACATTTGAAGCGACACATTCGTATGCACACAGGGGACAAAAAGTTTTCATGTTCTAGATGCGGTAAGCGTTTTGCAGAGAGATATAATCTTGTTGCGCATGAACAGCTACACAACTCCAAATTGGAATTGAAACGGAAGAAATTTAGGCAAGTAATAATTTTGGATGTACTCAGTTTTTAGATTTCACTTGGTTTCATATTTCTTCAAGAGTAATCTATGGATGAAATTTCAATCAGGTATTTAGTTTTATGGACACCATATTATTATTATAAGTATATTGCAAAAAATTGATTTTATTTACTTCAATGTAGTACAGTTAAAATTCATACCAAGCCTTTTTCGAGAATGAGAAAGAGGCATTTGTGAGTCCAAAAAAACCTTATTTCAACCCTGTTTTTCCCACTTTTCTTACCTACTAAAGGCATGCCATATATTGAATTCCATGTATTGTTTGTTCTAAATCCAATTTTATGAAGTTTTTGAATCGAGCAATGAAAAAAGTTGTCTCTGATCATTGAATATATAAAATTACATTTGTAAGACTTTATTTAACTTGAATAAATTACTTAGGATTAGGTTGTTCAAAAAGTTTTTTATGAGCACTTTAAATTGTAATATTTCAGTAAATACTTATTCAAATTGATGGAAATAAACACCATTAACGACATCATATAGTTATAAGCTAAAAATAGTCAAAAAATTCAAATTTGGGCAAAAAATAATATGAATAATGAAATGAACACACCCAATAATTCATTCACAAACTATCTACACCAAGTTCCATGCAATGCTGATAACTCGATGCATTTTTATCAAATTGATACTGCAGAGGTGAATAAAGGTGAATCAAATCCCTAAAAAACTCTGGCTCGCTTGATATTTACAATCATTCAGTGGTTATGTACAAAGAAAATCTATCTGCGCTACTACGACCAATTACATGTATTGTCAACTTGATTCTGAAATCTGGTGTATTTCCATCAAAACTAAAAATTGCAAGATAATTCCGATCTTTAAAAGTAGTGATATCAATCTTCCCTTAAACTACAGACCCATTGCACTACTTCCAGTAATTGCAAAAATTGTAAAAAAAAATAGTGGCAATAAGAATGATACATTATTTAGAGTACACAAATATCTTGACAGATATATAGTTTGGATTCAGAAAAGGAAGAAGCACGTCCAAAGCAGTGCTCGAATTGGTTGACTTCATAACTGAAGGTTTCGAAAACAAAGAATCAACACTTTGCATATTCCTCGATCTGAGCAAAGCGTTCGACTGCGTCTCTACTGACATGTTATTAGAAAAACTCAGAAACTATGGATTTATAGGTATAGCACACATTCTGTTATCAGCATATCTAAATGAGAGAAAGCAATGTGTATTATATAATGAAGAACTCAGTAGCTTACAAACGATATTGAATGGTGTTCCACAAGATAATGTGCTTGGGCCACTACTTTTCTTGGTTTATATTAATGACCTGCTAAATTCAATGACAATGTTTACAAAGCTATTCGCCGATGAAAATTCCTTCGCCATTCGGAAAAAAATATTGAAGAGTCATCAGAATTAGAAAAGCGAGTTATTCAAGCAGCTACGGACTTGGTTCAGTGCGAATAGCCTATGTGTGAATAAAAGCAAGACACAAACAGTTATGTTCTTGCTGTCTCATAATCTCTCAAATAATGTTTAATGTCTTGGTATAACCATTGATTCAAAGTTAACTTGGAAACCCCATATTGACAAACTAGCAAAAAATCTATCACGCAAAGTCCATACAATCAGGCAGATAAAAAATAAAGTCGGTAATGAAGCTGCCCATACCTCTTATCATGCAATGTTTTATAGTTCCTTTATTTATGGATTGATAAACTGGGGCACATCTGTTCATATCTTGAGAATATATGAAATGCAAAAAAGAGCAATCAGAGCTTTAGCTGGAATAGATCAAATGGAGATCTGTAAGAATTGGTTTATTAAGTTCAATATATCAACTCTGCCATCATGTGTAATATACTGCAATTTGATACACATTCAAGAAAATTTACAAAAATTTACTACAAACGGTGAAAACCATTCTTGTAATACTAAGAACAAGGATAATATTAGAGCACTAAACCAAAGACTAATAATAACAAGGAGATGTAACTCATACATATCATTTTACAACTCGCTGCCCCAATCAATGAAAAATGAAATCCTCGCTAATTTCAAACGGAAACTGAAAAAACATCTCTCAGGAAATGCTTACTTTGATGCGTCTGACTTCAGCTTTACAGTGTAACTATCGTCAATGTATCTTTATTTTTACATTTATTTACTTTATTTTGTGCTTGTTTCATAATTTTTATGTACCACCTGCTCCTTTTCGGTAATTTCAATTGTAATTTACATTTATTTTAAACATTATTGACTTGGCTTAGCACTAAGGTGTAATAACTTGACAAATAAAAAATCTAATCTAATCTAATCTAATGAACAGCATCGCTACATATTAAACAACAAAGTCGCTTACTTCTGTCTGTCCCTATATATGCTCAGATCTATAAAACTATGCAACAGATTCTGATGCGGGGTATTTTGATAGATGAAGTGATTCAAGAGGAAGGTTTATATGTATATAACATGCAGATAATTTAGGAGGTTTCTAACGTGATGTCATAAATAAACACATTTTTTTGCGTTTACATTGCAAACGCTAGCTGAAACTTCGTGATAACTACAGCATTGTACACCTTAAAAATGTCTACAAAAAAGTCCACGATGGTATATGTCTATCTCTTAGGGATAACCCACCAGAACCATTTTTATCCTAGAGAAATAATGGCTTACTTTCGAAGCGATTTCAAGCAATACAGCATTAATCCTTATCCAATTAAGTACCATAAATACATTGTGCAATCAATTTAGATCAATATGGCTTTTTACAGCATGTAATTTAAATTAATATTTTCGAAGATATAACAGATTTAAAATGCATGGACATAGCGGTTGCGGCGGTACCGGACGGGGAGGCGGTGGCACGTGCCTATAAATAGAGCGTCGAAGGCCGCGCTTCTCCCTATAGCACTTTTTGATTAGCAGCGATCGCACGCGTTTATATGTATATTTAGTATCCGAATTGCACCCGTGCGGAGCCGGGGCGGACCGCTAGTAGTGTACAAAATTCTCTATCGATCAGTATATACCACGACATTGTAGGACGACTCGACTGATGAATACCTTTCGACATTTCCTCTATACCACTCTAGACGAATGGCTTCTGAATACGGCTATTTTTCATACACACAAGTATTTTAATAAAATCAGTACAACTGAATTTTAAAATATATTTTGTCTCAATGTTTATTACTAAAATCAGAAGTTGTACTCCAGTCGTAACTGACAAAAGATCTAAACGATATCCTACTCTTGACTTGTAGGAGTTGAACAGGTACTCCTCTGTTTAAGACAGTCCTAGGAAGACTTGCAGCAGCATACAAATCTTGAAAGACATCATAAAAAGTGTGTAAGCTCCACTAAATGACATGTTCTGTGGTAGCCTTCAGAAACCCTCCAAGAACCTTTGATTCACCAGAAGTTTAACTTTTTTTTCTGATTGATTCGGCCGGTCTCTATAACTGGGTCAGAAATTCATGAGACATATGTTTTCCAAAGGTCAGCCAGATAATTAAATTAAGAATCATCGTAGAAGATTTAGAAATAGAACAGGAGGAAAGTTATATTTTCTCCATTAGAGTCCAGCTAAGTGAGATTTCAATTTCTACTAAACTACAATTGAGCATGTTTTTCATCCAACTAGATCTGCTCCCTCAGTATTTCTATATAGGACCTTATTTAAAAGACTATACTTTATTTCAGTGTGTTCTTCAATATCCCGCCCAATTTTTAATTGCCGCGTCTTTTGTAAAATGGATTTTGAAGATAATAGCGCTGGTGATTCGACGCCAGTAGGATCGAAAATACGGTCTTCTGCAGATATAATCGTTCTTATAACCTTTTCTATACATATTCAAAGCATCAGCCACAATAAAATAATTGTTCATATTTATTTTCAGTTGTCACATATGTGGAGAGAGTTTTGAGAAAAAACAGAGATTGGAAGAGCACAAAACAAAAGAGCACTTCTCTCTTGATATAAATATATGTCAGAGTTGAGTCTCCGTTATGAAAGAAAAAACGAGAAAATCGAACAAGGCAGTATTAGGATCTTCAAGGAAGAACTTTGATAGGAAATCTCAGAGAAATACCAGAGGATATTTCCGCCGATTTTATATCCCAGTATTCTTTAATATATTTTGTAATTTATGTTTTGCACTGATTAAACAATAAAATACTTTCACTTTATAGAGGCATAAGAGTTATCTCAATGATAAAAACAGGATTTTCAAAGCTGTACATGGTACATCTTTGCGTGATATAAATTTATGCTCTTTTTACAAAAAGTTTCAATGCAGTGCATGTTTCAAACGCTAATTGGAATATAAACATCTTACAAAAGGAGATTCTAACTTTTGAGTTGGGAGTAAAGAAAATTAAACCCAAATACCAAAGAGAAGAAGGGACTACTTCAATATATATTTTTTTCAAGTACCATTAAAAGCGTGGATAATGAGTTTTCTTTCAGCAATGCAAAATAACTGACCTCTATCCAATCATCATTCACTTACCTCATGATTCAAAACTCACAAAAAATATGTTGTTGAGCATATAAATTACAAAGCCTAAACTAGGCTGATTCATACATTGGAGAGACATTCAAGGCAACATCGCCATGATGATAATGAAAATTCAAAACCAAAAATGAATTGAGAGGCAATCGTGAACTGGCGTCATTGTCGACGGCAACGATGGAGGCAAATGATGGTTGTGAATAGAAATTCAATGACACATTGTTTCTTTTGATAGTTTCAGTTTTTATGTAATGTAAGGTATTAATGGTAATGATAGGAAAATAGGAATGATTATGCATTTATTAATGTTTGTTTCCTGTAAGAGTACAGTTCGTTAAAAGTAGTGTGATAGTTGCTGTTTGAAATATAAGGGTGTTGTTACAGTGGAAGTTCACTGTGTTATTTCTAACTGAAGTTCACACAACGTAGCATATTTGAATCACAAAATCTTCAATATGTATTGATTGCAAAGCCATGATGTTACACTTTTTTTTATAAAGATGGAAAAGTAGAAAACCAAAATCTTTCTTACTGAAAAGATATGTTTTATCTGGTTACTTTATTTGAAAGATACCCATTGATTTCAGCAATTTCTCTTATAACATTTTCATCAATATAGTGTCTTTCTTTATTTATACAAATATGGAAAACAAATATTGGAACATACGAATCACATTTTCTGGAAGGATTCCGTGATAGCGGTGGTTTTACTTTAACTCTCTGCGCGGCATTAACTGGGTTAGTTATTGTTTTTCCGTTGGGTATCTGCCACACGTACCTACAAAGTCGTAGGTCTGCATGAGAGTTAAGGGACACATGTCACAATGCACCTCTCAGGAATATTAATCATGTAAAAAAATATCAATACTTCAGGACAATAATTTATTTATGCAATCTTGATCCATTCTAAATAAGGTCCATTTTTCAGTTTGGCTCAAATTAACAGCTCCCAGTTTTTGGTAAAATTCGACGGTAGGATTCCAAGACAGAACATGAAAGTCTATCCTTCTAATTTGGGATTCTTGGGCTACTTTTGCAACAGCCTTCAGAAGTTGCTTTCCAAAACCATTACCCCTTGAACAAAGTAATTGGTTGAAATATCAAATTTTTCAAAAATTTTTAATCAAAACATGATTTCACTACTGCCAATTGAACTTGATTAACCCCGTGCAACTAAATGAGTAATTGAATTTTATTTCATAAACAATGAAAATGTTTTTTTATCGACCTTTTTTGGGTAATTGTTACCTTCCACAATCTGAAAAAATATAAAAAACCCAACAACACTGAAGAAAAAACAAAAAAATTGTATTTATAAAATACCTTGTTCTTGTGGTAAAAGTTACATTGGCGAAACCACAAGACCATTGAAAGTGCGTGAGAATGAACATCGAGATTATATAAAAAATAGACAATTGACAGGATCAAAATTATCAGAACACATTTTAAAATCAGACGGTATGACATAATTTCATATTTCAAAACTTCTTTGACATCTGTCGAAGAAGTAAAGAAATAAGCTATCAAAAAAGGAATAACTGCAAATATATTCGAATTTTTTATCCATTTTTGAAGACGGAGGCAGATTTTGGCCTCCGAAACGTAAAAGATAATTATTATTTCTTAATAATTTTTTTGATAGGCTAAATTGTTAAATACGACAAGTTACTGATAAATAGAAGATTTTTCTTTGTGAAAAATACTTTGATTTTTACACAGTAAGTTCTCCGTTATAATTTTTATATTTTCTCAGATTGTGGAAGGTAACTATTACCCAAAAAACTGATTTTTTCCTTCACAAAAAATGACTTTCGTTGAATAATGAAAATGTATATTCTAATATTTTTGAGAATAATATGTGTCACAGTTGCTTACCTATATGCTGGTTGAACATACAAATCTTCAAGAAAAATTGATCTTCCGACCCACGTTGAGTATGAATTATAATATAAAGCGTATCCTATTATATGACCATCTGGCAATTCTGCCACCATGGAAAAAAAAGCAGGAGGTTGGCTGTCAAAATCATCCTGTAGTATTTTTTCATCAATAGCTACCTGGTCTCCCAATTTTTCATAATCCGCGAGTTCCTATACATAAAATATTCATAAATATTTGTATTGTCGAATATATTTTTTTTAATTTTCAGTTTTTCAAAATATTTTTCTAGGAAATGAGAAATATGAATACTCAGTATGAGAAAGATGCTTTCATTGAAATATGAACACTCAGTATGACAAAAATCGTTTGAAAATCGTGAGATTAGTGATCATTGGGTCCGAAGACGGTAATGAAGTTCACTGGTTGCTTGGACTGCTACCTTGAAATGAAATGCTTCGATTCCTGCTCTTTCATGGTTGCGGACTATGCAAACAAAGGGATCCGAACTCCATATGACATCACAGGCTCTATACCAGGCTTTACATACCATTCTGTTACGTAGACGCTCCAAACTCAAAAGTCTACGAGCTCCCTGTTGTCGGATAAAACGGATTATTTGGAATGGAGACTCTTTAGGAGATACAACAGTTTTCGGCTCAATACATCGACAGTTCCGATGATAGATCTGTCGAGTTTGTGCTGATATTTGCCACAGAGTTTTTCACTAAAGTAAGAGTCGTCAGTAGCGTTATTCCAAGCAGATGTTTCCCTCAACGAGCAGCACATCAGCTCCATAATCTCCACATCATCCTGTTTCGAGAAGAACCATTGCACATTTATTTTTACCAAATTGCATAACGACATACTCTTCCACCACCCTCAAGGACTGATGGAAATCCTTTTCTTAAGAGGCATAAAGTTCAAGGTGCTATAGTTATACCCTTTAGTAGTTCAGAAGGCAATGGATAATTGCAATAGTGAGATGCAGAAAAGAATTGGGCTGAAAAAGTTAACCGCTCTGTTTTGACTCTAGGCTGACCATATGTTATAGTAAAGCCAGCCCTCCAGAGTGGTATCAGTTGTGTAAGGCACCTCACTATTTTCTCTAACCACCAACCACAACAAAAGTGAGTGGTAATTAAAACGTTGGTTGAGAGAGCACGGCGTGTTTGTGAACCTAAGAGTCTTCCTGAGGAACTTGGACAAAGTCCAAGTACTGGATTCCTTGGAGCTGCGGGTCGGTCTACATTGGAACCACGGCAAGAAGTGTGGTTACACGAGAAATTGTCTAGTCGGACAAATCAAAGAAGGCAGTCACATCTCATTTGGAAATATATTAATACTCGATAAAACTCAAAATTACTATCCAATAGTATATAGAGAGGCAATACAAACTATAACACAGGGATAATTTAAATAGAAAAGAAACAGTTATGAACATCAATACAATTTGGGTACCTGTCCTTACAGGTACACGAACTAGGTCAGAAAATTCAATCAAGAGAAACCAAGCCACGCCTACTAATAATAATACAGAAACCAGAGTCAAATACCAGCGTCGTAGTTACCGGGTTTGGAACGGAAACGACAACTCGAGACCTGCGATCGCCTTTGATGTCTACGCCAGAAATAGGCGAAACGTTAGGCATAAAAACCTGCAGACTACGATCAAAAACCCGAAAAATAGCTTTCACACCTTACTATTTTGTCGAATATTTCAAGTAATCTGAGCTAATGCAAGATGAAACGTAATGTTATATCACATGCCATGCATTAATCTTTTATTTATTTATTTATTTTCAACGGACAAGCCAATTTTTACAAATATCTTTTTATAAATTGTACATGTGCTTACAAACTAAAGATACATCAGATGTTTTCAATCGATTTTTGAAGGAGAATAATGATGAATTAAACAATTCCAGGTTAAGTTGGTAATGATTTGCTGATTTCAATATCCTATATATTGTTTCATTCTGACCATAATTGGTTCTACAAAAAGGAATTTTAAAAATATCACTATTTCTGGTTCTTCTATCATTCACAAAGAGAGTATTACAAAGCTCAACTATTTCTGGAGAATCATTATAGCCGTTTAATACTTTGTGGACAAACACAAGATCTGTTTCAAGTCTCCTATGAGTTAAGGTGTTCATGTTCAATATGTTCAATATCTGTGAGTAGTTATACTCTCCTCTATTTAATCCTAACTGAAAAGCAGCATATCTCAAGAATTTGTTTTGACACCCCTCTAACAACTCAACATATCAAAGGCTTTAGAAAAATCTGTGTATATAGAGTCCACTTGTAGCCTATTTTCAAGATTATTTATGATTTAGTTTTCACTAGGTTTAGGATGTCTAGGTTGAGTGGTTTCAGATGATCATATTTGTCTTTATAATTATTATATTATGGGAAACAAAAAAGAACAAACAGTAAAAGGAAATTAAGAAAATAGTTATGAAGTAAAAGTGGCATGGACCGATAATCACCCTGAATTATTAGAAAACAGAAATAGAAGAAAGAGGACTTTTTTTCAACAAAAATGTGATTCCTTCTTAAGGAGCTTGAGGTAACAGAAAGGCAAAGGTCATCTAAAATAGCTGAACAATTTTAGATGGCCTTTGCCTTTCTGGTCATCTAAAATAGCTGAACAATTTTAGATGGCCTTTGCCTTTCTGTTAACCAAAGATCCTTGAGATTATTTAGTGGCCTTCCAACTTGGTGGTCAAAAATATTTTGCATGGAAAAATCAATAAACTAAATAATATTTTCTACAGAGACCACTGAAGTTGGCAATTATATCTTCTCACAGAAGGACCCTAGAACACTGTTATAAAAGTATCGCTAAGCAATGGTTTTTACGATACAGATGGAAGTCAACTTCTCTAGCTTTTTGCTGTGCAAACGATAAGGTCCTCATAGTCCAATGTTGATATTAGTTCCACTTTCAATTGACTAAATAGCTAAACTGCACTATCTGTTTTGCAACATTGTTGATCATAGATAGTTTTTGAAGAGTTTCAACTTTGAAAAGCTTCTTTTGAGGCTGACAAGAATGAGAAGAATTGATAATACAATTCTGTATGCAATAATATTGGAAAATGGAATTCCAAGTGGGCCAAATATACCGAAGACATTCTTGACACAAATATACCGAAGACACTACTAATAACATATCACAGCATATATACCAATTGGTTGTATGCTGCAATATCCATATCCATGCACCACTAATGCAATAATTAATAAAGCTCAACGTTCCTCTTCAATTGAATATTTATATTGATGAATTTGAAAATATCAAATCGCCATGGTTGTATACATTTATATGTGACTGATGATGCATATTCGAGAGGAAGTTGCTTGTTCGAGAGGACTAGAGTTCGCAAAAATTTCTCCTTAGCTTTTGTATCATTTTCACTTACCTTAATAAGTTTGTAAACTTGAGCCATATCCTCTCTTACTGCCTTTCTTACAGTCAAGTTAAATGTCTCACTGTTCTGCATTTTGAATTTCTCTCCAGTGGGCTTTGAAAACCAAGTTGAATGATAATAAAATTTATCAATTACCAATAACAATATCAATCAGAATGTTATCTAATATGAGCAAATAAACTATTTGTTTATTGATAATAAGAAAAATAGTCTTTGGTTTATCCAGCTCACTCTTGAAATATTATGTTAAGTCAAACAGGGTTACAAAAGTAAATTATAATACTTATGTGCGAATAAATAATGTGGCCTAGTGGGGAAATTCAAAATTAGATGCCACTGCCATAGTGGAGAAAGTGCTAAACACAGATGTCTACATTGAATGTAGGTTATACCACCGTCATTGTCTATAGATTTAGACAATGCACCGTATAGAAGTAAACACTGTGTTTCGCGCCTCCGTTTTGAAATATATAGAACTTTTCCGCTATTATATCGTATTGCGTCAGAACGGTTCTCAATATAGAACTAAAATAAAGCTATTAGATTTATTTTGGTTCTACCACCGTATAGAATTTCTATAAGGTTCTACATTCCGAGGACCATTCTGAATCGATACAGAATCTACAGGTTCAGATCAGTTCTGTAACAGTTCACACAAACGAAAAACTAAAACAGAAAAATCCATGTTTTTTCTATTGGATCGTTATCAATTATTGTTTCTCAGTTGTTTCGTGAATGTTATTGCGATTTAAAATATTGAAATTGTTTATGATATAAGGATAAAGAGAAGTTATGTAAACAAAAAGGAATGCACATTTTTACTCACACACGCATGTACCATATAAAGTTCTAACCAATATCTACTATAATGTTCAAGTTGGTAATTGTCGTTCTGGAATAGTTCCGAATTGGTTCGGCAGAAACAAATTTTAATAAACGTGTATGATCGAACTGTAATGAATTGTCAACCAAAACGAATCTATCTATCCATCTGAATATTCTGAATCTGAATAAAGTTCAAAAATTTTCGACAAAATTTAGTTGAATAGAGATTATTTTCAAGTTGAATTACTGTGATTGAATAAACATTCAATTAAAGGATTAAAGCGGTAATCTGATATCATTTTAAGGAAATATGCAACAAAATATTATTTGGACAATAATATTAATTGGTCTAGTAAGTGATAGTTTGTGTATTGTATGCCCTGAAAACTATTGCTCCCAATATCAGTGCAAGGAAGAGATATGTGGAGAAGGCCAAATTAAAACGCTAGGAACTTGTGGCTGTTGTAAAGTTTGCTCAACAGTATTGGGTGAGTTTGATCTGAAAATAAACATTTGATTATATACTAATGATATCCTAATTAGCAGAATTGTCAGAAACCATATTTCAATTTTGTGGTATGATACAGAGCAATTTATGCATGTCCTAATTCTGACAACTGTTATTTGACTCATCTTTATAGTCCAACCATAGAATCAAGTTGAAAAAAAATTAAACTGGTTTGTGAAGTGATTCTCTACAAAACCTTTTATTACTTGTTTTTTACCAACAGGCAGTGTCAAGTACTCAATAAGATTTTTTTGAAATACTATTATTTATTATTGTCTGTGAAATCAATCTGAACAACTAAATAAAATACTAAAGTAAGTGGATGGAATCTTATGTAATAGATCGCAGGCAATTGGTTATGCCTGAAAGATCTGTGTTCTGCACAACAATTCATAGTAAACATTTTTATGATTTAGAGTACAATCACCGTATGCCACTGTCAACATTTCAAGTGCTTTGGAGCACTTAATTCTATTTTTTACACACAATTTGACGTAAGTTTTTTGAGAGTAGAACATGGCCGAACACGTAAAACACTTCTAACTCACCAACAAACTAAACATTCTAAACAGCTGAAACTGTGAACATATGTTCGAGACGAATGTACGATCCTAAAAAAATAAAATCGCCAATCGAATGTACCTAGCCCGCGAAATTTGAACATAAACCTTATTTTTTCACCAGCTCACATGTTCTTCAATTATTATAAATTTTGATTTCTAATTTTTTGTTTTGTTTCAGAGGAAGGAAAATTTTGTGGATTCGTTGGAGAAATATTGAGTCCTGAACCACCAAAAGCAGTATGTGCAGAAAATCTTATTTGTTATAATAATAAATGCCAAAAAGAAAAGGATGTTGTTGCTGAAATAGTAGCTTCTAACAGTGGATAATATTTTACTCTACATCAACTGATTCTATTAATTTCAAGAATACCATTACAAGGCTTCATCTATATTCCATAGCTTCGCACTTATTTTTTGACCAAAGGTTGAATTTTGAATTGAACCTGCAATAAAAAACTGCCTAATGAATATGTTTTGGTTTGAAGTATGAGGGGCCAAGTCAAAAACATCTCCTGTCGCAGAGAATATGGTTTGGTTATTTGTTCTTAACGATGAGAAGGCATTTTTGCAATTGGAAAAAATTGTATCGATAAAAACAAGAGCAGTTGTATTGGGACAGAACATGCACGTAAACACTCCCACACAACAGTTGGGCTGAAAAATTTCATTTCATCATTCGCCTTCGGGGGTGATTCTATGAATATAGTAGATGAAATTTTGCCATCGTTTTCATTGATTTGTGACGCAGTGCATTATTTTAATGAAACATCATTTTCTTTTTCTTCAGATGGGTCCGTTTTTCTGCACACCATTTCATTGTCTTTCTTATTACACAAATTCTATCTTAATATGCACTGTTTGAGGAAGAAAACTAATGAAAAAATAAATTAAATTTTTTTCATATGTATTTTCCATATACAATTATTTTGTTGGAGGAACTAAATGTCTGGAGAAACGCACGTCATTTTGTAAGAACCTGTCATTCTAGTGATCGGTTGAAAAATGGGTGCCTATTGAATCAAACTTTCATATTTATTACTCCAGAAAGTTGTGAAAATGAACATCAACGATAAAAACAAACTCATATTTTCCAATTATTAATAGTTCTAAATTTTGAATATATTGTTACGTTTTTCCCCGTGGGTTAACCATTAATTGACCGCACTGTACAATTATCAAACTTAACTTTATATTACTTTTAATACAACAAAACACTGAAACTTCAACTATTATTCGAATTACTGTCGCCTTATTAGATTGCCACACGTACCGCACTGTAACTTCCACTTGACTGTGTCGATAGGCGAGTGAAGAGCGCTTATATTTGGCAATCGAAGGCGGTGGAAAATTCTTCGAAGCGGCGCGAATTTCCGCGAAACATCGGGATCATTATTCTCCAAGCAACGCCACGTCTGGAACGGCACGTCGAATTAGGCGTGATCTTGGTCACATCACAATAGGGAATGTTCCTCAATTTGGGTTATTACAGCAAATGCAAGTTTGAACAAAATGAATATGAGTTCATGAGTTTTTCAAATTCACTTCGAGAAGTATTCAAATTGATGTTTCAAATGTTGGGTTTTAATTTTTAAAGGGATTTGTTTCTAATTCACATATTGGCAACAGCGCATAGAACTTTACCTGCCATTCCTAAAAATATTTTACCTTGTATATAATAAATCAAGTTGAAATAATTTATACGTTCCTAGATATTCTACTTTAAAAAAGGAAAATTATCTTTATAAATCAACAATTAAGGCAAAATATAAATTATAGTTCAATACCAGCTCCACAAGCCACATGAACAATAGTTGTTTTGTTATTGATTTATATAGAGGAAAATAGGTTAGGTGCACAAAATGTCATATGCCACAGAATGTCTTGGAACATAAGTAAACAGAACAGCACGCCTCTGAAATATGTCATCTTTGTTTGTCTCATACAGGTAACAGATTCATTGTCCTTTATTAGCTATAACCGATATTGCCAAATGGTGAAATAGAAACGAATCCCTTTAAATGTTGAATGCATTATTTCATTCCTCTTTTTTTAAGTATTTAAATAGTTTTTTAAAGAAAAAGGTTGAAATGATGAGTTTAAAATGCGCTGTTTTAGAGCTCTTTTATGAAAACTATTTGATTTTCGTCAGGAGGAAACAATTATTTTGTTGGAGGAACTAAATGTCTGGAGAAACGGACGTCATTTTGTAAGAACCTGCCATTCTAGTGATCGGTTGAAAAATGAGAGCCTATTAAATCAAACTTTCATATTCATAACTCCAGAAAGTTGTGAAAATGAAAATAAATGATAGAAACAAACTCACCTTTTCCAATTAATAATAGTTCTATATTTTGAATATATTGTTACGTTTTTACCCGTGGGTTGTGGGTTAACCATCAATTGACTACACTGTATAATTATCAAACTCAACTTTATTTTACTTTTAATACAACACTTTAACTGAAACTTCAACTATTATTCGAATGACTATCGCCTTATTGAATCGCTCCGCGTACCGCATCGTAACTTCCACTTGAGTGTGTCGATAGGCGAGTGGATGGCGCTTATAATTGGCAATCGAAGGCGCTGGAAAATTCTTCGGAATTCTATCGAAGAGGCGCGAACATCGGGATCATTATTCTCGAAGCAACGCCACGTCTGGAGCGACGCTAACGTACGTCGTGTTAGGCGTGATCTTGGTCACATCACAATCAAATTATGGCTACCAGCGGCGGCCGGCGTTACTTTCTTTAAGGCATGATTTACAACAATACGCAAACACGAGGCTAATCTGATTTAGTTCAAGAAGTAATATGGTCTTGAAACACTATAAACTGGTTGTTATTTCAGTTTTTCTCACTTCTATTTTGTTTATAATCCACCCAAAACCCACACAACTAGCACGTTACAGGTAATCTGATCGATATATGACAGAGAATACATAAATAGATATACATTTGTGTCTAGACGGGCAAAAAGATTTTCAATTCTTGGAATTCTGGTGCCTACTCTCGCACGGGATTTTTTATTTGAAAAGGTTTGCGATGGATAACGTGAAGACAAGATTAATTCAGAAAATGAAAGAGTGGTGGAAAATGAAAAAAAGTATGCTGTTATAAAATCGGATATAACTATTTTGCAGGTCAGCAAATTGTTCTCAGCAGACATTGCTTTCGTAATCTTGAAGGAGGGCAGAAATTCTTGCAGGTCGGGTCTGCCAGACATGAATCTCGACCAGGTTAATCATTTTCGACAGAAAAATTTTCCAGCCCCCGCCCAAAAGTTTCACAATTCTCAAAAAATTGGAAATAGATTTTGCATGGCGGGTCTCCCATACGTGAATCTCGACCAATTTAATCATTTTCGACAAAAAAATTCCAACCCCAAATGAGTATGAAAAAATTCCACATTCCTATTAATTTGAAAATAAAACTTGCAGGTCGGCAGAAATTCTTGCAGTTCGGGTCTGCCAGACATGGAACTCGACTAGGTTGATTATTTTCGACAGTCGAAAATAATTAGCCTAGTCGTAATTCATGTCTTGGAGACCCGACCTGCAAAAATTTCCGCCGACCTGCAAAATGTATTTCTATTTTTTTGAGAATTGTGAAATTTTTGGGTTGGGTTCGAAATTTTTTATGTCGAAAATGATTAACCTGGTCGAGATTCATGTCTGGTAGACCCAACCTGCAAGATTTATTTTCAGTTTAATGAGGAATATGGAATTTTTCCATACGCAAAGAGTGGGGGTTGGATTTTTTTCGTCGAAAATGGTTAACCTGGTCGAGATTTATGGTTGACAGACCCGATCTGCAAGAATTTCTGCCGACCTGCAAGGTTAATTTTCTATTTAATGAAGAATGTGGAATTTTTCCATACGCAAAGAGTGGGGGTTGGAATTTTTTTGTCGAAAATGATGAATCTGATCGAGATTCATCTCTGGGAAACCCGATCTGCAGGAACTTCCGCCGATTTGCAAAACGTATTCCCAATTTTTTGAGAATTGGGAAATTTCTGGGTGGGGGTTCGAAATTGTTTCTGACGAAATTGATTAACCTGGTCGTTTCATGTCTGGTAGACCCGACCTGCAAGAATTTCTTTCCTCCTACAAGATTACGAGAGCTACTACTGAGAACAATTTGCAGACCTGCAAAATAGTTATACCTAGTTATACTGAAAAACTCAAATCTGCGCAAACGAAGTAGCGGACAACATCTAGTATAAAATGATTTCAGTACAGAACAAAAATTCTAAAAAAAAAATTAAAAGTTCTTGATCTTCAGATATGGAAAGAGATTAACACGGAAAAATGGAATTTCAAACAGGCGCTAATTGAGTAATCATTTTTATCAAAATAACCTCAAAACAAAATTCACGATTGAATAAATCGCAATGAAAATGTTTGTCATATCATTTTGAATGTAAAAACTGTACGATTTAATGTGTCGAAGGCATAGTGAACTATTAAAAGTTTTATGAACGCGTCTTTCAAATATTTAGAGATGAGAAAGCAAGGTAATAACATCTTTTTTGATCAGTTTGCGCCTAAATTAAAATGAAGTTTTCAATAAAGCCCGCTTATACCATCATTTATATTACTTTTAAAAATTTTGTATAGCACTACTATAAAAGAACTTGAGTTATTTTAAGAAATGAACAGTCACTAATATTGAAATGGCGCAAGCGATATTGCGTCCAACTCATAATCAAACGTCGATGGTTCCCAACTCATCCTTGTCCATATATTTTTCCAATAGTTTTTCTAGTTGAAGTGGGAGTAATTCTGTGATTTTACATAACTAACGGACTGCGAAAAGGCCTCATCCTGATACTCCCTAAGACACTTGGGAAGCTATTGACGTTAGCTATCTAGAACAAGAGGCTTACGAGTAGAGTAGTACTTTGCCATCAATACAAAAAATACTAATAGAACCGCCGTCGGAATGTTTTCCCTTAATCGTTTATTTATTCATTTCACTTTTATAAGGTAAACTAGCTTCCGAATCCATATTCTGAGAATTCAGAACTAGAATTGAGTGAAGTTGCATTGTTCTTTTAGCCTGCATATATTATTTATGGAAACCACTCTTTATTTTCAACTTTACATGAATAACAAAACGAAATGCTATTCTACAAAATATTTCACTGAAATTCCATCCAAAAAGCCATACAATCACAATCGACAAACGAATAAGAAAAGGTAAGTAAGAGCATGGAATGGAAAATAATCATTGCATTGTGCGTTTATAGCATAGACATGACAATATGAACGGGTGGTGACACTTTTACCCTTTCCACTTGAGGATCACACAACGTCTTGGCCACTGCGTCACAGTATATACCATGTGACAAATTTAATACCAAAATTTACACGATGGAAATGAAACATCGTGAGGTATCTGACGTTATGTATGTTAGCGACGGAAATGGCAAGACATAAATCTCTATCTTTTATTAGTTGTTCGAATCAATATTCTCTTTTCAATGGCCAGTCCATATTGTGAAGTCACTGGTTCATAAGTATACGCTCAAAGTAACTATTACTCTGAGCTTATACGGAACATCTTCATGCTGTCGGTTCTGTCATTTCATTTCAATTATACAAAATCACATCTCAGAAATGTTCTGGGTTCCGCTATTGACAACATTTGGATAAATCGAGTCCAAGTTATACGAAAATCGTTGCCGGGATTGCTCAGTCAACAGTGGTCTGAATATATAAACTTTTATATTTATTTTATTATTAGTCCTGAGGATTTAAGATCAAACAAACTTACCTATGATTTTCGATCAAAATTATCTTAAACACTTTCATCTCAAGATCACTTAAATTAACTGTGTAATACCACCTGTAAGTACGGGCAGATGCCACAATATTTAAAGAAGACGAACAATCATACTTCCTACTTTCACTGTCCGTTATTATGAATGTAAAGTACATTGTTACACTGGTATTATTGGTATTGTTACACTGGTAGGGTAAGAGCAGATGTGGGAGTAAACTGGGAGTTTTTGAAGGAAATGACGTAACAAACCTATGTAATGAAATTTTTATATAGGCAAACCGAAAAAATGTCAGGCAAACGAGTATACAATATTTGGGTTTTGGTGTTCTGCAGGATATCATTACGACCCAATTAGATAAAAATGTAAAATATTATTTTTCACAGTGATGGCATTTACTAATAACATCCTGTAATACATCAAAGAGGCGTTACAATTTTGTTGATCACAAATGGAACAAATTAAATTTTTCAAATAAAAGTAGTATATAGTAAATTGTCCGACTTCTGTCTACTGATTACACTGTTATCACGGATATGTGATCCTCGGAACAGGCAAGAAGTCAATGAGCAGGGAAGAAAATATCAACAGAATCCAGGGATCATATCTGAGATCGAAGAAGTTTATTAATTTTATCACAAGATGGGTAAATTGACGGATTTTACAGGAGATTCACTATATTATGAATTGGATAAATGGACATTAAATGTGTAATCACTTCCTCCCCCCAATGTGTATTTGATAGGTACTTTGAATAGCGTAGTATTACATTCCTCGCAGGTTATGTTTCTTGAGAAAGGTTGTAACTATTTCACTCTTACTACCAATCTGTAGGGCCAAGAAAACAGCTGAGACTGAAGCCCAACAACGAAAAGGCGATATTATGATGGGAAGTCCAAATGGAATGTGAAGAAAGAACAATATTTGTTCATTTAGTATTTCAATATAATACTGGTAAACCCTTTATGAATCTATGAACCTTAATTTATGTTGTTATATACAGTATGAAGATAAATAGTCCCTCCTCTCTTAACTTTTGAACAAGGCAAGATATTATCAGAGCCGGAAAAAATGTGTATGAGAAAAAATCATTTTTAGTACTTTCTGATGAAAAGCTCGCTGAAATTGGATGCTAGGGAAAAAATGATAATTCGTAATTTTGCAATCAAAAGAGAGGATTGAAAGAGCTCTGAAGGTAGTCTAGAGAAAAATCTGACTGTTGATTAATATTTGGAAATCCTTCAAAACCTCATTCGCCCATGTATTCAAAAAGTTGTTACCAATAAACATATCAAGGATAATTCAAAAATCTAGTGGTTTTCTAATAAGATCAAAATCTGTTTTTCCGTTAACCAGCTGTCGCACCCCTACGAACGACAACCCTCAGAAGTTGAGAAACTTGTGCGAGCTAAGGATTAACGACGTCTTACCTTTTAACGTGTGATTCCTAACACGGGTTGGACGATAGCAAGTGAAGATCGATCGTTCAGACTAAGGCTTGAACCACCGACCAACACGGCAGTCAATTCGAGTAAGTGAACAAAGCACCCACGTCGAACCGCTTGGCTACCGACCGACGATAGTGTTAGGGATTGGTTTTGGATCAGACACACCCATGCATGTGCATTCGTAGGCGCGGTCCTTTGGAGTATTCTGCTTGTTCACCGGATTTCTCAATGACACACGTGATAACTGTTTCAAAAGTAATCAACAATTATATTATTTTCAGGTAACCTCTGCCAAAAATTCTGGTTAGTAGTGGTGTTAAGAAGTGATTATTTTTGGAACATATCCTAAATTATTTAAATTTCAGTACGAAAATATAATATCGATTGGCAACCCTGACTTCAATCCTTATCAAAAAGTATACCAACTCTCTGTCTGTCCTATCTTCTATGTTTTAACCACCTTAACCAAAAAATAGTTCAACTTCGCCCATTCCATTAGTAATATTAATATTGCACATTGATAATTATAATTATTTAAGAATCGTAATGAAATTAACTGGGACAATTTTATTTCTAACTTTTATATTGTTTTGCAATGGTACAATCGAAAATAAAATAGTGAAGGCCAGATTAGAGGTAAATATTTTCGTGGAATAATTATCTAAACTAATTGATATTTTACAATGGAAATATTTGAAACAAGTCTTGAAAACAACTTTAAACACGCCAGGCAACTTGCACTTTTTCATTTAGTCTCATCTATAATATGCTTTTAATAGGTGTTACAATCTTATTCCAGGCAAACTTTGTTCCTTCTATTTCCAATTTCATTTGATACTATAATATGTATTAGGTAATTTACCCTTATCTTTCTAGTCATTTAAAGTATGTGACTTGATTTCAGAGTTGTCCTGGATGTTCCTTGAATAGACTTCATGATGTAAAAAAATTTGTTTATGAAGACATTGGGAAATATGACAATGTAGAATGGAAAAAAATTTCTGGTGCACCTCCTGAACTTATATTTTATAATTCGGCGGACGAAGAGGTAGAGAGGCATCAACTTAGTAAGCTCAGCAGAAAAGAATGTAATGAATTGTTAAATAGTAAGGGTTTTAGTATGAGAACTAACGATAAAGAGTTGTAGTATTTGAATTATCCTCCATTTCCACTCAAAACTGCACCTGAATTGTGTTTGTAACAATTTAAATAAAAAACTATTAAATCAGTTTTTCATCAACAATCATTTATTCCTATTCCAAACAAAATAACATCCAATGTCCTACACTAGATTAATTTCAGTTTTGAAATAGTTGAAGTGTTCAAAGTTGGTAAAATATTTACAGGATTGAACAAAACAAATTTTAACATGTAGTAAATACTTGACATTTGATAGTTTCTTTACAAATATATTACTCTAGAAAAACCAACTGTCGTTTTTAATAGTTGGAAGTTTTTTTGTACAAAAAAAGAATAAGTGCCTACTTGTAATGAAATGAAATCCAGTGTCCCACACTAGTTTAATTTCAGATCATTTGGAATAATTTAGATGCTCAAAATTGATTAAAGAATTGAATCAAAATAATTCTAGATATGTAGAAGTCACTTAAAACTAAAATTTAATGGCTTCCTTTATAAATGAAAATTTTGCTACTGTCTTGAATGACCAACTGTTGTTTTTAGTAGTTGTTATTCAACACAGATTTTTGACAAATATTACTAAAAAACTATAATTGTATCTTTTAATAACTGTACAAAAAACATATATACCATAATTGATATCAAGTCATAACACTTCTCTTGAAAATGTAAGAAGTATGTGATGTTTTCAATATATTTAATATGACTTGTCTTTTGAATCAGTCTTCCAGCATTGCAAACTTATAGAAATTAACTCAGAATTCATTTGTAACACAGATTCGTCTTTCTCAAAGAATCCACCAGTTGCTGAAAAACACCCATTAAAAATCCCCATAAGACATTCCACCATGTTTTCAAATCAATTCAGGCCAATAAAAGCCAAGATAAAAAAAGTATAGCCATCCAAAGGAATAACTTTGACAAGAAATGTTCTTCCAGGTGTTGTTGTGGACCATGAAAGGCTGCTGTCTGTCTATGGTCCCCGATATTGAATGTGGAGGTAAAGAATCCAAATGGAAAAGCTCCAATTCCAAAAGACATTTGAAAATTGTTCTCTCCAAAACCGAAAGCTAAAATGAAAAGTTATTATGCTGTTGTGTATGTTTACTATAAGGTTATAGAAAAATAACAGAATTCCATTAATCTATCACAAAACAGTAAAATGCAGATGTAAAGTAATAAAAACAAAATTTTACCTGGAAAACCTGAGCCTGGTTCTGGCTCGGTTCTTTGTCCTGCAGGTCGAGGAGGTACCTTTTCTCTTGGATCTTCTTGTTTTGTACTGCCTCTTCCGTACAATGGAATAACCTTCTCCTTGCTTATTCCAGCTTTACACACTGGACAAACCTGGCTGTTTGCTCTAGTTTGTAGCCACTGATGCAAGCATGGCCAGCTGGAGTAAAATTGTTATGATGAAAAATCATTTCATTCAATCAGCGTAACTGATTTACAACTATTTTCAAAAATATATCTCTTGATATCAAAGAGTTTGAGCACCAGAATACCAACATCCA